TGCAGTTCTATTTAGAAAAATATAAAATACTAGCTTCATCAATCAAACTGGAAACACTCGAAGATATAAAAATGGCGTAAATATAAGTTAATGCTGAAAAATTAAGCATAAACTCAAAGCCATTTTGTTTCTTCTACACAAAAATATTATTATTTCTTCTATTTGTGTAGTATTATTTCCTTTTTTTTTGTTTAACTAAAAGAGGAATCCTTTCTCCAACCCCAGTAATTGATTCTCATTGATCATTGTTTATTTCATCTTAAACGTCAATATTGTCTACAAAAGCACAGAACTTTTAGGTTTCAAAACATACAATTATTTTAGCTTTATGTAAGAGCATTTTCTTAACATGTTTGTTAATCATAACGAAACGAGCAATTACCTAGATGGAAAAAAAAATTCTTTCCATTTGAAAAAAAAAATTGACCTTAAGTACACAAGATATGCAACTCAGTACAAAGAAATGAACAAAAAGAATTTCACTTGTTGACGAAACATTTGACAATGGGATGACGTAGTGAGGGTATCCCGATCCTGATAGGTTGTGGAAACGTTGTTTAGGTTAGCAACTGTTCCTATTTCGAGTAAGTCGCGCATTAACTCTTTTTAGTCATACATTCCTTCACAAAGATTTCACTCTATATTTACATTGAGACTTATAACAAAGACAGACACGAAGCCGTGTGGAACAAACTAATTATGCATTGAAGTTGTACACAAAACGAAAATATGTCACAGTTACAATAAAATACATAAACAAATGATAAATCTAAGTTAAGTAAAAGAAGAATTATATTTCAACTATTCGATGTGCATGACACGACTCCGTATTTAACTAACTAATCGTTTATTAACATTCTAACTTATGTAGTGAAACTTTAATACGCCATTTTGCTTATCAGCCGACGTCATAGGTTCTATGTATGGGTATCCGTAATATTCTTCTTCAAGCGCAGGAACCCAATTGCAAAATAAGTTAATTGTTAGTTAAATTGTAAAATAAACATAAAAATATTTTGGAATATTATGAAAAACTTTAAACATACCCACTGATGAAATCTCAGTCTTGAAAACAATTGGACACTTGAATTTCAAGAAGAAGAAAATCATGGTTACCCACACCTTAAACCTATGACGTCAGCCCAAGCTGATCGTTTATAAGCAAAATGGCGTGTTAAAGTCGGGCTAAGTTTCTCATAATAAGCTGGAATGTTAATTAGCGTGAAGTTAATTAAATACAACACCGTATCGTACATCGAATTTGTTAAAATATAATTCTTTCCACGTTTTTTGTTTAACTTGGATTTATTATTTGTTGCATTGTTAGTTTATTTATGTTCTACAAGGATTCGTGCTTTTCTTTGCGTTACGTAAATAAGATATAAATATAGTGAAAAAAATTGAAATCTGTGTAAGAGAATATAGAATGCATCGCTTAAGAGAATCGATACTTGTTGGGCTTGGCTTACTCGAAATAGAATGGAAAGAACAGTCGTAGGCGTAAACAACTGCCGCGATTCCACAACCAATCAGGATCACACTACAGATTGTAAAGAATCTAAGAAATTTAAAAATTATCTTCTGCTTTTTTATTTGATCTTGTATTGCTTTTATATTATTGCTTACATTACATTTTTTAATGATTCTTACGACTATTTGTGATTATGATGTGAAGTTTAATTTCGTCAAAATGTGCTTGGACATGAAAAGCCATTTCAGCAACCATTTTCCTAATAAATAATAGTAAAAAATAAAAATATTTTTGGCGAAGTTTAGGGTTGAGACACTACATTAGTGTATCATAATTGAAACAAAAGAATGTATTAATACCTCGCATGGAACTAAAATATTTATTTGAGAAATTTAAAAGAGTCCTTTCACGAAATCTGACAGATTAAGTTGCTTCTCTTTTAATTAATTTCGTCACAGTAGTTTGCTAGTGACACTTAAAGCGTGACATATCCCGGCATTCTGTCTCTGTTTTGCTTCGCTTTTCTCATGTGACATACTTAATCAGTGTCAGAGTCAGCGGACGGTGAATTAGGAGGATAGTTTTTGGCACTCCTAGGGAAAAGTGCCAAAAAATATTCAAAACTGCTTGCAAATAAGTTATTTGTATCTGAAACAGTGAAAACATTTTATTTATTTATTTATTTAATTCGCAGTGATTATTATTTTTCCAACCTGGGATTATTGTTCCAATAAATCCGCAATTTATCTAAAGTGATTTTTGGAACCTGTGATTATTGTTCCAATAGATCTGCAATTTATCTAAAGTGGTTTTTGGAACCTGTGATTATTGTTCCAATAAATCCACAATTTATCTAATATTTCGATTATTTTTATGAAGCGATTATTTTAAGATTCGATTATTTTATTTTTTACGATTATTTTATTTTATTTTTCGATTATTTTAAGCGAAATTCAAATAATAAAAAGAAGAGCAAAATTTGAAAAATACATACATTCTTTTTCTCCCAATAACGATAATAAATTACAAAAACGACATAAATTTACACATAATTGCATCAGCATTGATGATCGTACTATTCAACTCAAAACAGAATAATCACAGCTAAGAATAAATAATTACGTTTCTCAAAATTCATATCAGTTCTTCGATTTTATTCGATTTCATCGTAAGCCAAAAACAAATTCAGCTAAAGACTCTAGAAGCCGTTTCAAACCTGGCGAATTCAACTATCTGACCTAATTTTAAGACTTCTATGGATAAAACAATGGATTTGATGGATATGGATAAACAATGAATTTCATTCCCAAATTAATTATTTCCAAATTAATTAGTAGTCTTTCTTTAGTTAGTATGCTCACAGCTGCTAAGGAACTTTATTTATTAATTTTCTGAACTTTCTTTATTAATTTTGAGTTTTTCTAAAAGAATTATTTAGTGTTCCATTAGAGAAGAGAAATTGAGAATATCCCCTCTAAAGGAACTTTTTCTTCTTTTTTCATTTTAGATCATTAATGGTTTTTAAACTCATCTGTTATAAAATAAAAATTATTTTCGAAAATTATATAGATCGCGTGATTTGTGTTCCTGTTCCCCAAAATATTGTGCTTTTGCTTTCGCATTTAATTTTATGAACTATTTTTAACGATATGAGTCAAATTAGACCTGACTGGATAAAAAGGTTAAAACAGCTCGCAATTACTCCTATTTCAGTATTATTACACTTAACGTATACATGTCCAATGTTATAGTAAGGTTTTGTCGATGTAGTGTTAACACATGTTTGTTAACGAGATTGATTTTTTTGTTAACACTTTAAATAAGAATTATTTTTACAACTTTGAAACTCAACTGCCTTAGCTCTCTCATTCGGATATCCTAAAACTGACCAATGATTTTAAGAATAACTTTATAAAAATAAAGACAGAAATAAAAATGCACGGTTTGCTGCATTTTGCATTGCTAACAATACACTTCTCTCACCCAGTATCGCAATTAGTTACAAAATCTGATAACAGATGGCGTTGCTAATTTTAAAAAAAAATATAAAACGAAGTTTTTTTGCTTTATTTTAGCCCATTCCAACTAAAATATTTGCACGGGTGGCAATTAATTCTGTACTCAGAATTCTCTACGTCATTGCTGCAAATAGTGGCTACATTAAAAACATTGTTTCACAGTTAGTAGTATCATATGTTGACGAAACTGATGCAAATTCGTCAATGCAACGTTTAAAATTCTGTCAATTACAAAGAACACTCTGTAAAATTTCGCTTATTTTTCAATCAAGAGTCACAATTATGAGAAAAATCAAAGCATTCGTTGTTACTTAGCAACGGATATTATTAAGTTTGTCTGCTATATTTTTGTGTAATTTCTTTTTCCGATTTATTTGCTTTGAGAAATAAATAGAATTGTTTTCATGGCAGGGGGGAATGAAAATACACTACAGTTACATTTTGAAAAAGAATAGGTTAATTAAAACATTCAGAGAGTAAATAACAACATGCTTTAACAAATTCTTTAAGCAAACATATATACTACCAAGGGGGTAAAGAAGTGTATAATATTTAAATAGTATAATGGTAGAAGTCTTTATCTATTCACAATAGTAAATACCACAGAACTGTATGCTGCTTTAAACTACATCTGACACAAAATGAAGAAAATAATAAAACAGTGCATAGAGCAAAAAAAAAATAATCTTATTATTTTATTATAAATCCTCTCTTTATGATTTTTTTCTAATTTATATTGGAACTTCGTTTTATGCAAACTTGTAATAACCTAAGCAGATAACGATCCTAATTAGTTTGGATAAGAAATATTTGCTTTTCTATTTTTCTCGAAAATTCGCATAATCCAAGCTTTTAGTTGCCAAAGCTGGCAATTGGTCCAAATCAAACAGAATTCGAACAATTGAAGCGTTCTGTATCCTGAGTAGATTTTTGTCCTTAATAGTTCAATCTTTGTTTTGATTTCGGAACTTCGTTTAATCCAAACTTTTAGTTACCAAAGCAGACAATGACTTAAAAATTTGGATTAGAGATCTTTGTTTCACTATTTCTCTCGGTACTTCGTATAATCTAAACTTCCAGTAACTAAAATCAGGCAATAGTCATAATTAATTTGTATCAGCGTGGTTCTAACTTTAACAATTTTCTTTTAAAATAAAATAAAAATAATGCATAATATTAAAGCTGTAATTAACGTTTTTAGAAATTAATAGGTAAATAATTGTGGTAAAAAAAAATCTATATTGCAATTTATTTCTGTTTCGTTTCAATTCCTTCCTTTAAAAGTTTCATTTGCTTAAGGGTATCATTTGCTTAACAGAAAAGTATTAAATATTGTTCCTTAACACAAAGAATAGACAAAGAAATTTTAATATGGAGAACGTTTTTTTTTCAAGTGTTCTTTTTTCAATTATAATTTGAAAAATAATTCAAAGACAAAGAGACAAAAAAAGCATGCAAAAGTCAGAAATAATTATTGTGTTTATAATGAGACTTCAAAATCAAACACTTACCTATTGGTCGGATTTCATCAGCGAAATCATCAAAAAGATCTGTAAAAAATAAGTACTATTAGACGGTTATTAATTTTTTAAATATTCTTAGAAATTATTACAGGCAATGAGCATAACCCTATTGTTAATTTATCTGTGTTTTATGGGGGAAAAGACCCACCTTGCAATATGTTCTCCAGCCTTACAAACTTGATACCCAACATTGCAACTTGCCACATTACAACTAGCCACACAAATTTGATATAAACTCACATTACAACATGTTCTCCAGCCTTGCAAACTTCATACAGTACCACACTGCAACATGTTATCCAGCCATTTGATACAGACCCTTATTGCAACATGTTCTCCAGCCATTCAAACTTCATTCAGACCCACCTTGCAACACGTGCTCTAGCCATGCAAACTTCATACACACCAACATTGCAACTTGTTCTCCAGCCACGCAAATTTGATACAGACCCACATTGCAACATGTTCTCCAGCCATACAAATTTCATACAGATCCTTCTTGCAATATATTCTCCAGCCATGCAAACTTCATACAGACCCACCTTGCAACATGTTCTCCTGTCATGCAAACCTGATACAGCCCACTTTGCAACATGTTCTCCAGATGCTCAGGGCTTGGAGGAAAGAAACAAAGTCATGCAAACTTCATACAGACCCACCTTGCAACATGTTCTCCAGCCATACAAACTTCAAACAGACCCACCTTGTTACATGTTCTCCAGCCATACAAGCTTCATACAGACCCACATTGCAATATGTCCTCAAGCCATGCAAATTTGATACAGACCCACTTTGGAACATGTTCTCCAGCCATACAAACTTCATATAGATCCACTTTTTGCAACATGTTCTCCAGTCATGCAAACTTGATACAGACACACATTGCAACATGTTCTCCAGTCTTACAAACTTCACATAGACCCACATTACAACATGTTCTTCAGCCGTTAAACTTCATATAGATCCGCTTTGCAACATGTTCTCCAGTCATGCAAACTTGATACAGATCCACATTGCAACATGTTCTCCAGTCATACAAACTTCACATAGACCCACATTGCAACATGTTCTTCAGCCATACGAACTTGATACAGACCCACATTGCAACATGTCCTCCTGCCGAAGGAAACTTGATACAGACACACCTCGCAACATGTTCTCTAGCCATACAAACTTGATATAATTCAAAATATTTGTTTGAGAAGCAACTTTATATAATGTCGATCTCAATCTTACATTTCGATAATGTGTGATGTCTATGCTAGATCCATGAAAACTGCAGTGCAACGGAGGAAAAAGACAACTACATCCAGGGCAGAAAAAGCCTCAATTTTATATATTTCGGAGAATATTGTAAGACCAACTTTCAAACAAAATCGCAGTTTTTATATAGATATTAAGAAATTCTCTACAATTTTCTTTCTAATTTAAAATAAATAATAAGCACTACATTTTGCTTTGTGGAATTTTTATAAAGCCTTCAGAAATTGCGGGCCTCAGAACAATTAGTAATCACATGAAATTTACATTAGCTTATATGTCATATATATATATATAGCCTTGCAAACTTNTATATATATTTCAGCGAATTACCGAAATCAAGAGAATTTCGAATTTTACCGGTGAATGGCAACAATCACAAAGTCACTTTGGAGAATGTTCAAAATGTTTGTTACATTCGCTTTGATATTAATGTAGTTGTTGATATTATTATATTTATTCGATATTTTAATATCTGCTGAAGACATATTAGAAGAAACATCAGTGATCGGAGTACAGATTAAATGTATACCGGGCAGTGGCACTAAGCCTTAAAAGAACATGCGTGAAGGGTATAACGGGCAGTGGCATTCAACTAGACCTAGTATATAATTTTGACATATATGATCGTCAGCTTTCTCCAGTGGAAGTCAACAACCACCAATAAATGAACAAATTTACAAAGGTAAGAAAAAGGAAAGTTGGAAATTAGTATTTTATTTGCCAGCAACGCTAAGCGATGAGAGTCTGTACTGAAGACGCGGTTTCGTACGAACCCAATGAGGTGACCCGGGTCCGAACCCAGCGATAGCTGGTCGATACGAATTCTGCATCCGGTTCGTACCCACCATAGTGCTGACGTGAAATATCCTCAGGGTTAGACAGATCATGGGTTAGAATCCCCCAGCCTTCTGGCCAACCGTTGGAGGTCTTCGTGGTTTTCCTCTCCGTGTATCGTAAATGCGGGTTAGTTGCATCAAATAAGTCCTCCAAGAAAGGAAATTTCTCCCATTACTTGATGGAGGAGTTTCCTTGTCTTTTGGATTGGGTTCAAAATGACAAGGCGACGGAGTTGAACATTAGTAGTCGAAAACCCAAAATTGGGTCAGTTTTTCAACGACGGATATAAAATAAAATAAAGACATCCTTGTATTTGCAGACTGATAAAAAAAAGTGTTTTTTCAAAATCTGAAAAAATCATAGTGGGTTCGAGTTTGAATAAAAAGACTGTGGTTCATGTACTAATCAAAAGATAGGTGTACCAATAAAAAAACTGTATGTTCGAGTACTGATCAAAAAAGTGCGTGGATTCAAAATCGGAATAAATGAGGTTGGGTTCGAGTTTGATTAAAAAGACTGTGGTTCAAGTACTAATCAAACGATGGGTGTGCTTATAAAAATATCACTGGTTCGAGTACTGATCGAAAAACTGCGTGGTTTCAAAATCTGCAAAAATGATAGTGGGTACAAGTTTGAATTAAAAGACAGTGGTTGAAGTAGTATTAATCAAAAGATCAGTGGCATTTACCAAAACGTGATTGTCAACATTCTCCGGTAGAAGTCACCAATTACCCATTTCCGTCATTCACAGTAACATACTTTTATACTTTATTAAAATAATTATCTATTATTTGTCATCGTCATTTTAAAAAACCTAAGCCTGAACAATATCAACCCCCTTAAAAGAGGTCTCACTTTGATGCTAAGTTGAAGGTCACCTTCAGATCGCTCCGACCAGACATTAGTCATTTTTAACAATTTTTTTCCAATAAAATGAGTAGCTTACATCACTTTACTGTAAATAACAGCATATTTCTATTTATTATGGTCAATATCTATCATCAAAACACCACATTTTTGATAACATTCGTTCGAATGTTCCACTGCAGCCTCCAGAGATGCAGCAAGAGGGAAAAACGAAGCTAAATCCGGGAACCAAATATAGATCCTAGCAAAACCCTGTAATTTCACAGACCAGCGCCCATCACAAAATCATCATCAGTTGGTAAGAAATCTGAGAATAACAGCTAAAGTACCCACACAGTTTAAGGGCATCCAAGAAAGAAATCAAGACATCACCCAAGAAAAGGAGGAGGAGTATTCGTTCGAATCCCTCCTCACCAAGACTCTAATTGCCAAGATGGTCGCTCCTCTAGATGGATGAAGGGTCCATTGTGCTCCCCAATCGGAAGCTGGCATTGCCTCCCCCCTCCCCTTTGGTTCTTTGCCAAGAATCATCTGTCTCTTCGTGAATTCGCACTTTGGGACGACACTTCACTCGTCTTTTGTTCGAATTGTGTTCTTTTTTTCCCCTTTCCCGCCATTTTCCTGAGAGAAGTTCTCTTTTTGTTTCCATTTATCTCTGAATTACGAAGCAGAGATTATTTTCGTTGTTTTATAACATTAATCTAAACTGCTCCCCAATTCATTTAACGAGAAAGAATAGAATTTTGTTGTATTCCCGCCTCTTTCTGCGATTTTTTTGTTCTTTTTTTTTTTTTAAATATCCGGAGAGTTTTTGGTGGATGTTGCGGATTGTTCCAATTGTAAAACTGAAAATGAATTGCAACAGCGTGGATAATGCCGAAAGTATAAAACCACGTTGATGTCATTAATAACGTGTTAAAAGCAAAGTTGACGTGATTAAATTATAATTTTAGGTTTATTGCAATATATTATGTCCCTATAAAGGTTGGACAAATAACGTTGAAAACATCGTAATTAACACAAATGAAAATCGTTTAATATACAGACCGTGGCTAAATTTTTAGACGCACTTTAAGATTCCATGAAAAATCTTAATTATCAGATGATACTATACAGCTTTATTGTTTTTATACGGCTGAAACCGGTTTGCACTTGTTTACGTTCGTGTATCCATTGGTTAACATTTGTAATGCAATACGTAAAAATAAATACAAATAGGTATTATATAAGAAATCTCCTAAATAAAAACCCATTACATGTATGTTTAAATATAAAAGTATTACACATAAACTCGTGCAAATCATGTAGTCATTAAAAAACTACAATGCATCTAATAGTTTGGTCCAGTTATTATAATATACCAATATAATGCTTCATATAATAAATATTCTATATTTATATAATATATCGTCTAAATTAACCAATTGACCCGAGGATCGAACCAGGGACCTGTGGCACGACAGCGCTCAGCCACCGGACGTCATATATATATACATGTGTGTGTGTGTGTGTGTGTGCGCTTTGGTGTCTATATATATATAGACACCAGTACCTGCTTCTTAAAAGAAATTAAAAAAAAAATTAATTACGTCATTAATAGTTTCAGTAGTTCAAAATGACAGGCATTGCTAACAGCATTGATGATGGAATTCAGAATGACAACCATTGTATTTTACGCCTTGAATACTAAGAAATGGTAGTTTTTTATTACATTAAAAGAGCTGATTATGCCTTCATTAGTCGCAATGATTCTTATTAAGTTGCTTTTTTTTTACAATAATATACAATTTATATTACAATACAATACAATTACAATATAATACAATATATTACAATACAATAATATATATATTTATGTACGATTTTAACTAGAGAGAAGGAAATATTCAAGTGCAACCAATAACCCCATAATATAATTTTAAACAGTAAATACACTCCCAGAGGAAAACCCCTTCATGAGCAAACCAGTGTTGAAGCCGGTATGAATGTAGTAATAGTAGCGCCACCTACATTAATTAGAAAAAAGTTACTTCCTTGTTGGATATCATTGCGTCTAGAGA